CTAATGCAACTGCTCAAACTATTTGCATAGCTTCTCTCTGCGGGACTGCGGCACCTACTTCTCCAGAAAGAGAACAGATAACTGCTGCCAGGTAAGGGGCGCTGCACTAATAGGCCTAAACCTCTCATAAGCCTCCTACCAAGTGAAGGCAGCTCGAGAGAACTGAAACGTAGTGAATGAGACCCTATTGGTCTCCAGAATACCTGTTGTACGGAGAATCCTCTGACACTTGTCCAAGAAACCCTGGGCATCCTCGCCCTCTCTACCACTGAAAGTCGGAGGCTGAAGTCTACCAAACTTCTCCAATCTATGCTGCTCATCATCAGGCATGACTGAAACCTCATAATCCTGAGCAGGTGCAACCGTCTAGGTTGGTGGTACCCCCGGTGTCTGAAGTCCCTGAACAACCTGCTCGGGTGTACGGGCGACGGAAGTCTGAGTGCCTTTCCCGGTCTGGGAAGTAGCTGTTGTAGTAGAAACAGCGACCTCCTGAGCAAGACTGGTGTACACGGTCAGAATCTGAGCTAAGGTCTCCTTAAGACCTGGAATAACCATAGGCACAGCTAGTGCCTGAGCTAGCCCCGCTGGAGCATCTACACCCGGAACCTGATCTTGAACTAGGGCAGCTGGTGGATCTGCTGGTGCTACCCTAGCTGCGGTTCTTAGCCCAAAATAACATTTATATGCATCAAAACGGGGTAATAAAAGCTCAGTTATGAAAACAATAAACATAGCATGACTGAGTATAGATTTCCAATCAAAACAGTGAGAGGATAATAAGGAAAAAGGCCCCTAAGGGTCCAAACAGCTCTGGCACAAGGCCCAAATATGGCATTCCTCCTAATTTATAAAAATTCTTTCTAAAACATATAAGTACCATATAGTTTCAGTCAAATATGCAACCTTATAGTTGCTATGGGATGGACCAAGTCACAATCCCCAACGGTCCACGCCCACACGCCCGTCACTTAGCATGCGCGTCACCTCAAAATAAGTAAAACGAGACGAAATCCAAGGTTTCATACCCTCAGGACTAGATTTACAATCATTAATTACCTCAAATCGATCAAATATCTACTCTGCGATGCCCTTGCCTCTCGAACCAGCCTCCAAATTCGTCGAATCTAGCCACAAATAATTCGATACAATCAGCACGAGCTAAACGAATTAATCCCATAAGAAAATGCTAAGCTTAAGGTCAAAATTCAAAAACTCAACTTAAAAGTCGGGCCCCAGGCCCATATCTCGGAATCCGACCAAAGCCATAAAATCCAACAGCCCATTCGATTACGAAACTAACCGTACTAGTTTCACTCAATTCCGACTTCGAATCGGCTTTCAAATCCCAAATGTTCATTTAATGAAATTCCACAAATTTTCCCAAAATTACTAATCAAATGATGAAATCAATGATATATACGTGATTATTAGCCAAAACCGAGCTAAAATTACTTACCCCGATGATTTTCTTGAAAAACTCCAGAAAATTTGCCTGAAACCGAGCTCTCAAAGTTCAAAATGTGAAATAAAACCCTAAACCTCACTTATATAGTGCTCTCTGAACTTCCATTACGGATTCCGCGTATTTCTAACCGCGGCTGCGAAATCCCCACCGCGGTCCGCGTAATTTCTATTGTGGCCTCGAGTCTTGAGCCTACCTTCCGTGGTAGGAGGCTAAGTGCCTCATTCCACTCTAGAACCACTCCAGGCCCGAACCAACCAACACGATATGATAAAATACAGCTAAAGAACATAGAAGAAAACAGAAATGGGGGAATTGGGGCTATGACTCATGAAACAACCAGCTGGGTCGTCACAAAACTGTGAATAAATCAAGATGTACAATTAATTTAACAACTTAAATCACAAGAGTCCTCTACGATTAATGAATAAGAAGCAGAACCAGAAAGGAAATATCGTCTCAAATTAAGAATCAACTATAATTAGTACAAAACAGCAATACGATTCAAATAAATGAAAACTAAGAGTACAAGTAAGTCATTTAAGGAAAGTAGCAGTAAATCATGGGAGCATGAGAGAATCTAACATATTTAACACGAGAATAATAGATGACAAGTAGCAAATAAAGGCATGGGAAGCATTTAAAGCGTGTAACAGTTAAGGCATGTAGTGAAATAATTAATGAAACGCGGAAAAACAACGTAACAAGTATTTTCGCGGCATATATACACTCGTCACCTCATATATACTCCGCAACACATGAATTTCACATAGCACATAGCTCAAGGGTTGCTAATTCCCTCAAATCAAAGCTAAACCCAACACTTACCTCACTTCGTAGTAAACTTAGAGCTCTGCTAGGGCCTTTCCTCTAGAATCCACTTCTAAACCAATTGTATCTACCCAAAATCGACTCGATAATATCAAATAATACTAGGGTAATTAGTTACAATACATAAAGTTAGGATTTTTATACTTAACCCAAAAAGTTAACCCCGGGCTCGCTTGGTTAAAACCTAAGATTCGGACCAAGCCCCATTTACCAATTTACCCCCGAGTATGATTATGTAATTAGTTTCGAAATCCGACCCCAAATTAAGGTCTAGATCCTGAATTTGCAACTCCCTCCCCCTCCCCAAATTCTTTTCAAATCCCTAGTTTTCTACCATGGAAGAACAATGATTAGGGCTAGAAATTGATGGGTAATGTTATAAATGGATAAAATGAGTTAAAGTACACTAACCTATGAAAGGGTGATGAAATTTTTTGTCTAAATCGCCTCTAGGCTGAGCTCTAATGGATAGATGGTGAAAAATGGGTGAAATCCTGTCTTTTAGAAATTGAAATGACTGGGCGTCAGGTGTTCATCACGACCACGAGAAACCCGATGTGTTCGCGAAGAGTACTGCCTATTTGGCTTACGCGATCGCGAGTTACTCTATGCGTTCGTGTAGGCTTAGCCCACCTCACCTTCGAGTTCGCGAGCGTGGGCTCGCGTTCGCGTAGAGTAAACCCATCTCCCAGCCCCCGCCTCTCTAATTATATGTGTTCGCGTTGATGTTGTCACGTTCGCGAATGGCAGTCCCCCACCACCACCACCACCACTCCGCGTTTGCGACCAAAACCTTGCGTTCGCACTGAGTAAATCACCCCCAGTTCCAACTAGCCTTCGCGATCACGGGACTTTCTTCGCTATCGCGAAGAAGGAAGTACCAGAAACTAGCAGAAGAAAAAAAAACAGAATTTTTCTTAAATTCAAAACATTTGTAGCCTATCCGAAACTCACCCGAGCGCTCGGGGCTCCGACCCAAATATGCACACAAGTCCAAAAATATTATACGAACTCGCTCGCGCAATCAAAATACCAAAATAATTCTTAGAGCTATAAATCGGACACCAAAACGAATGAAATTTTCAATGAAACTTAAGAACTTTCATTTTAACAATGAGACGTCTGAATCACATCAATTCAACTCCGTTTTGCACCAAATATTGCTGACAAAACATAAATACAGTAATGAACCTATAAAAACTCCGGAACCAAAATTCGGACCCGGTAGCAACAAAGTCAAACTTCGGTCAAACTTAAAATTTCTTTAAACCTTTAAACTTCAAATTTTTCACAAATTGCAATAAATCAAGCTGGGGACTTCAGAATTCGATTTCGAGCATATGTCCAAGATCCAAATCACGATACAGACCCACCAAGACTGTCAAAATACTGATCCGGATCTGTTATGACTGAAGTCAACTCAAATAAGTTTTAAGGCATGATTTCACATTTTAATCATTCTTTTCACATAAATACCTTTCGGAAAAAGATACAAACTGTGCACGCAAATTGAGAAAGTCTAAACAAAGTTACTTTAGGTTTCGAAACACAGAATTAAAAGTTAAAACTCTAGATGACCTATCGGGTCATCACGAGTAGTTTCCTTCATTATACTGTAAAGTTTGAGACTTGCATAAGAGATTCTTTACTCAAGTCTCACAAATTTATGAATTAGTTTTACTATTATTGTTATTTAAAAGTTGTTACTTCTCTATATTTTTTGTTCTTTTAGTTTAACTTCATAACAATATTATATATTCAAAGTAGAAAAAGAGATGGAGATATGAATTACATGGAACACGATGCATTATTCATGAGATAAGTCAAGCAGAGCTAGAATTAATGTTATTAAGGATGAGGAGTTAAAAGGGAGGTACAACTTTAAAACCAATCTACCTAATACCTTACTCAAAGCGAAAAAACGAGAAGAAAACTGTTTATAAAAAATATTGATCCTTAATATTTAATAAGATACAATATTTAAAAAAATATTCTTATATCTATTTAAGGTGGAGAAATAGATAGATACGTGATATATAAGGGAAAAGAATGCACTGTCCATGAAACATTTTGTTCATGTTTAATGGTAGTAATTGGTGAGGAACAAATGTTATATAGATGAAATAATCTAGTTACTTAACTTACTCCAAGCAAAAATAAAGCACTGTTTAAAAAAACAATGATTACTTAATTATTAGATAAAGAGGAAAGATAAAAACCGTCTTAGACATTGATTGCTTAATTATTATATCTCAAAAATTATTAGATTGAGAGGAAAGAAAAAAACAGTCTTAGACACTGATTGCTTAATTATTATATCTAAAAAAAAAAAAGATAGAAACAATCATATATTTTCAAGGTGGCCGACAAGATAGAGACATGAGTTATTTATAAAATGTTAATATTATCTAGTACCCCTCCCAATATATGTGGCCACTTAATTTTCACTTAAAATTGGCTTATGATATCAATTGGCGTTTCTTGAAATTTTTCAGGTTTAGTTTCAGCTCTTATTCGAGTTAGTTTCACATGCATTTTCATTAAAATATTAGCTAACAACAAAACTAAACAAGACACGATTTGACTGCCTATTAATCAAAATTGCAGTAGGAACCGTTTGTAAATCTTAGTCTCCATATAACTACTAGATAAACCCAAAAACAAATGGCTGAAAAAGAATAACAATAGCACAGTGATAAATATATCATCTTTGTTATAGGAAAAGTTCATACTTGCAAAATTCATAATACATTACATATATTCACCATTGAAAATACATCAATAGAAGAAACGTGCATATATAATATTTTCTTCAAACACAACATTCTTTATTTCACACGCAGCTAGCTAGAACTAGCCAATATTGCCAAATATTCATCACACACACAGATATGCATATATGTCCGTGTTAACATACATATATATATGGCTATGAACCATTGAATAGCATAGATTAGATTACTTGAGAAGGTGACTCTCTACATCTTTGGTCACATGTAGGGCATAAGCCAACAAAACGAGAGGCTCTGGGGTTTCTTCAGTTTTCTTCTCGTACACAAATGTCCATGTAGTCCATTGGTGGTCATGAGATGTGATAATAGTGAAGGAATTGTACAACTCTAATAGATCTCCTCCAATTACTTTCCAAGTGATTGATTTCTTTTCATGATCCACGGCTTCAATTACTTGCTTACAAATCTTATCTTTTCCATCTATAAATAATAAAGTTCAAAAATACAAGAGATGTTACTCCATATTCAACAGTCCAATTCCTCATATAAAAGATATAAACACTCAGAATAACATATTTTCTTCTCATTTCTTTTGTTTTTCATTTTCACTTTCTCCAAATATTATTTGAATCTCGCGATGATTGGACGTGCTATATTTTTTCCTGAATAAAATTACCGTTAAAAATCTTCAAAGAACATTTGCCATTGTGGAAAATATTGAACTACTGGGGAAAAAAGCTTAAATTTGAATATATTGTGTTTGGTACGATGAAAGGAATTTTCCTTGAGAAATATTTTTAAAAAATATTTGGCAAATATTTTTTCAATACTTGGTAATTGGTGAGTGAAAAATATTTTATGTATATATTATATTGAATGCTAGTAATAATATTAGCAAATAGGGTGTTAAGAAGTTTTTGAGTATTATCATTAATATGTCTAAGTGTTAGTTGGAGAAAGTAAATGAAGTTAAACATTAAGATAGTTATAAGAAAAGTGACTTCCGTCAACGAGATTTTCCCCTTTAATTTGAGATAAAATATTTTATGATAACCAAAAAATCATCAAATAATGTTTTCACGAAAAATATATTTTTGGAGAAAGACTTCTTTACATACTAAATACACCTAAATGCGGAAATTGATACAAGTAAATAATATATATGTATAGAGAGAAGAAATATGAATTACATACCGTCGCTATAATTCCAGCTAACAACCGAACCAACTTTTATGGTTTCACCTTCATCAATATCAAATTTTTGGACCTTATTAGGACTTATGTTGGATATATGGTGAGTATTGGTGTGAAAAATGTCATGAATTAGGTGGCCTCCACACTTTACCTCTACTGAAGCAATCAACTTGCCTTTCACACCCATATTTTCTTCTCACTGTAGAAGAAAATTTTTGAAATGAAAGTGATGAGAAAATGCAGAGAGGCTGTAGTCTTTATATAGATTACATTTAGCTTTTATTATTATTGTTATTATTATTATTATTAAATATATTATGTTCTAGTTAGCTTCTTGAAAAGCTAGTATAAAGCATGATCCATGACAACTCATTTTTTTTAATTAGTGGAGATGGAAGATTAATGTCAGCTCATTACGTGTATAATTAGGTCTTGCGTGCTAAGTTAATGTTGTCCTTCACAATAAAATTTTAATCATTTGACTTATTCCTAAAAAGGGAAAACGTCTAAATTTTCCCCAAAAGTAAGAGCGGATTTGTCTTCCCATACAATAGTAGCATATTCGTGCCCCTTCCATTATACAAGTTATTATCAAATATATTTATAGTTTGCTTATTACCCGCCATACTAATAGTATTTCTATAAAATATAAACAATTCATTAAATAAAGATTCATTGTAGTTGTAGACTTTCTTATTTAAGCGCGCTAAAATTGGGGAATTAAATATTCTTGCAGATCTTCTACAACGCAAATTACGCATATTAATAATTATTGTCGGTTTCGTTTCAAATTGAGCTACTCTGTTTTTGCGATACACTCTGTTTCAACATTTTTTCTGATTCACAAATCAAAAACGACCAAATCTTCTGCATTTCTTCTGCAACAAATGCAATTATGTCCAAAATCTCAATTATGCTACAACTGAATGGGAATTAGGATAGCTATGGGAGATTTAGAGAATTTCAGGTCGATGGCATTGTAGTCAATGAGGATGCGAGTTATAGTCTATTGATTTCTACAATAGCACAGCAATTAATGATCGATACATCAGGAAATTTTTTTTATAGAAATCATATACATTGTCAACGAGCATTGTCCTCCAATGGAAATTAGGAATGATATGGGTGTTTGTGTATACATGGAGACGAAAAAGGAAAACAAAAACTTAGGATCATATCTGCTATGTATAATTATTCGTGATTTCAATATGGAATTGAGTATCACCAATGAGAACACAGCTGCAGGTTTGTGCTGTTAATTTTTCTATCAAATTCTGGTTGTATGTCAATATCCTATATCTTATCCACATTTTAACTACAAATAAACTACATGTCAGAGTAAATATATATATATCAGTATGGATTTCATAATATCTACAAATTTTCTACATTTATTCTACAATAAAACTACATATCATTTGAAAAATTAATATGAAATACAGATTTACAATTTTTTCACAAATTATCTACAAAATTTCTACAAACTGTTCATAACAGTATTTATCTTTATTTTCGTGCAGTTTCGTCTGGAACATTAAAGTTACTTGATATGCCAACATCTTCCATTATAGAGGAATATGAAAGTATAATAATAACAGATAGTACACCAAGTTTTATTGATGTAGGACAAGTATAACAAGACAAGCAAACAATTGCCTACACGGGTGTATAACAAGACAAGCAAATAACAGAGGAATATGAAAGTATAATAACAATTGCCTAGGGAGAAATGGTGATCGGGCATGCTTTCCCGCCTGCCTTGTTCTACCTTGATGCACGGGTGTTATTTCATCTTGTATAGGCTTGCCGAACTTAACCAACTGGGAGAAGTTATCAGGCAGCTCGAAATCATCAAGTGTAACCTCCTTCTTCTCACCTCCGGAGTCTTCTGAATCACCTACATTCACACACTCTGCCTCTTCACCTACATTGTCATCTTCCTCGTTCTGTTGTTCTCTTTGAGCTGCTACTGTCACTCCGTGAATTGGAGATTGTGCATGCATATCTTCCCTCTCTGTAACACAATGTATATCTAGCTTAATAGCATGGTAAAAATAATGAAACATAAAGCAAATATCTCTGATTTCAATTTCATACATGTATTCTCTTCATCAACTGCCCCTTCAAAATGTGTATATAAATTAACACGTGCTGGATGATTTTCTTCACCAAGTGCACCTTCAACAAGTTCTGTTTTTTTCATCAAAAATGTTAAATCATACTAGATAGTAGTGGCTTGACAGTTTAAGAAGATATGTAGGCGTGTTATAAGATCTACATAAATCTGTAGAGTTGTGCATGAAGTATTTATTTGTATATATTTTGTATATATAATGTAGACAAATTGTAATTATGTTGTAGATAACTTGTAGATATTTTGTAGATATTATGTAGATAATTGTAGTTAAAGTTGAGTTATTTTGTAGATACCTGTTTTGCTGGTGCTGGCCTGCACTAGTTCTCCACTAGTGAACTGAAATTGCTGATTGTTCTTGTCTTTTGGTTGGTCAGTATTTTTGGTTGAACTCCCCGCAAACTGAAAGTTTTATATTAGTTAGGATATATATTTTAGAGGAGACATAAATAATTTTGTTAATATGAATAAAAATCAAATGTTACCTTTGCATCAACTTGATCATTTGGACTGTTTATCGCCTGCAAAACAGTCTTGACAGACTCATTTATTAGCACTCGAAGGCTAACTAGTTCTTCAAAGACATCTTTCCTAAAATCTTCAAGCTTTTCATTTACCTACATATTAAAAAAATACATAGTTAACTTCAGAATATATCTTAACATACATTAAAGAACAGATGCACTATTATGTATACATCACAATGTTGTTTAGGAATACATGTTACCTTCTCAAGACCTCTTTTTAACTTTCTTATTTTACAAAGAATAGACTCTTTGTCCTCTTTTCCAATTGATTCTTTGGGTTCCAATGGATGAGCATCAACTTTGGGATCCTCAGAAACATGTTCAACCTCTTCAGTTATATACTCAACTTTATCAGGCAAAGACATCACTGAAAGCTCTTCAGGTGATTCATTTATGTTGGTGAACTAATGAGGAAAAAAATAAATTAGCTTGATTAAGGCAGAATATGTATACAAATTGTAGATATTTTGCAGGTAAATTGTATAATCATAAATAAAAACCATTTACCTTCATCCATTTAGGCTTGATCATTCTGTCTTCAATTGCAGCTAACCAAATCTGACTCTTACTAGCTGACCAGTTAAGTATGCGAGGGATTGAATTAGAAATCCTTGTAGCTATATCAGTGTTGACGGAGGAGCAACACTCATACAACCATACTTGCATGGCTAGTGGGAATCCTCGAATGAGATAAGAAAGAACGACAGGATTTAGCCTGTGCTTAACTGATTCAATCAACTGTCTGTAAGACTAAATACCCCATGGAAATGTCTCGTACTGACCGGATTCCACCAAATAAAACCTAAAATGATCTACCAACCCAATATGATCTCTCTCTGAAGGACAAATGAAGAATTCTATGAGATATATAATACATAACTTTACTGCATCCTCATCATTTACCCAACTTTTGTTGGTTACAATCTGTTTTAGGTATGTCTTCTCCACTTTTACCTTGTTTGGAAAGTAACTGCTCATTATCTTACTGACATAATTCAGAGTGTAACCAAAGTCTGTCACCTCGGTATGACATCTAAGACCAGTTATTAATGCAAACTCTCTCAATCCAAAATTTAACCTCTCACATTTTAACTCAGCTGAAAAATAGAAAGCATCGGATGAATTCAATTCATACTTCATAAGAAGATGAATAGCTTGATTTTGCATGCATAAATTGAGAAATGACAGTAAATAACCAAAGCATGTCTTCTTGAATAGCTTCAAACTATTTGGAGACAAAAGCTCTTTAATTTGGCTAAGAATACTAGGGTCACATAATGTATGGAATCTAAGCACCCCATAATCCACATTATGGGATGCAAAAAAATGTCCATTTTGAACAATCAATAAATATAATCTCACATTAATACAGTGCTTCAAAAATATAGATACATTTGCAATCTATCTAGAAAATAACTTCAAAAAATATACAAAATATCAACACTTTTAAACAGATCAGCAAAGCTACAATTAATATTCAAAATGAAAACAAATAATCTCACATTAATTCAGTGCTTAAAAAACATAGATACATTTGCATTTTATATACAAAATTACTACAAAAAATCTACAAAGCTGAAACAACACAGATTATGTAGATTTGTAACAACTAAAACAAACGAAATAACTAGTGAAGAAATTACTAAATTCTTACCTTAGTTTAACACTTTTTTTGAATTTTTCTTCTTTTTAGGAGTTTTTGAACTGGGAGCCACTTTAGCTTTCTTTCCAGGTTTACTGATAGGCACATCTTCTACAAAATCATCATTGAACACTATCTCTTTTCGTTTCCTTTCCGCTTGTTTGATTGGCCTCGAAGATTCTCCAGCATTGAAATCATGTTTTTGTTTAGTTTTAGCTTCAACCCTGATTTGACGCGGAGAAAGACTATACTTCATATCTACAATTGCATGTGCATATTTCCCTTGCTTTTTGGGTGAATGTGGTGATAATACACCCAAATCAAAAAGAAGGTATATCAGTTTCTCTAGCTTTTTTAAGGCTATGCTTTGAAGGTTTGTTCTTCTTCATTGATAAAATTTGAAGCTGAAGGTAAATGTGTGTATGAACTTTGAAGATTTGACTTTAATTTTGACTGGTTGTAGAAAAAACTTGAAATTAGACGTTAATGATGGGGGTTACATATGTTTCTCTGGTTTTAGCAGAGGAAATAATGGGTTTGAATAGTGGGTGTTGGGTGATACGTGGGTGAGGGCGTGGGTTTGGGAGAGAGAAACATGGGGGAGGGGGGGGGATTTGAAGAAATATACGGTACCATTAATTTAGGAGAAATATACGGTACAATTAATGTACCGTTAAAACACATTATGGTATAAAATTGGTAATTAGGTATACTAAATGTAATTATATCAAACCTTAAACATTGATGGTAATATAATTTCCTATGTGGCATAGAAATATAAAAATTCCTAAAAAATAATGGGTTAATTTGGGCTAAAATGTTTGTAGCCCAACCCATTAATCTCTGGACTAGTTGGGCGGGTTAAATATGTTTGGGCTCAAATTGCCATGCCTAATCTAGGGGAAAGAGTTTAGCATAGGTGCATAGGAAAGGTTTATA